ATGATTTTGCTTTTCTAAGATCAGTTTGAGGACCATTAGTATAGTGTAATTTAATTTTTGCATTCATGAGTGTGATATATTTTTGAATTTACTTACATGCATTGTTTCCTATAGCTCTGTTCTGTTGTGTGCAGCTCAAATATCCTGTATGTTATCAGTAGATGTTTAGCTAATTCATGTTTTTCATACTGAAGCAACTTTATTCATCTGTTTTTCTTGAGTGGGTTGTAGAATCTACAGCTTTTACTAACTCCATTAGTTACCAACTTGTCAAATTAATTTACATGAGTGTCCAAAATATTCCCCAAATTTTCATTTAAAATAGATAAAATAATATAGTTGGCATAATTGCTGATATTGGTAATCTGTGCCATTTCTACTTTTTATCTAATATGTCTGTTTAAAATTTATTAATCTGACTGGTTGTTTCTCTTCTGGACACGATCCCCCTCACCCAAGTTACTCAATTTTACTTTAATTTCTGCATTTTTATAATGTATTAAGAGAGCCTCAGTTAACTCATGTAGTGCTATGTTCCTTTTCAATGTTAATGTTGGATGCAGCCATCTTCCTCCATGCTCTTGGTTGTCATCCCACAGATCTGTGTATTTGGTGTACCCATTGATACTTGTATGGTAGATAAGCACTAGCAAAAGTTTTTCTGGAAAGTTTTATTAGGAGATAAATTGTTGCCAAAATATATTTCTTTTTTTATATTGTATTTTTTATTTTTAAATTTAAATTAGAAACAAGGTTGCTTCACATGTCAATTCCAGGTCCCTCTCCCTTTCCCTCCCCTCCTACCACACCCTCTCACCAGCCCTCTCCTATGTCCCCTCATTTCCCCAGGGAGGATGAGGCCCTCCATGGGGGTATCCATAGTCTGTCATTTCATGCAGGGCAGGGCCTAGACACTCCCCCAAGAGTGCAGGGTGAGAGTGCACCTCACATTGTTGGATGGGCACCCAAAATCCATTTGTATGCCAGCGATAAGTACTGATCTACTACCCAAGGTTCAATATATTTTCTTACACCTGCACCACATTCTTTTGAGCAAAGCACCAGCCTTCTGTTGGAACTTTTTCCACCAGGAATTAGGATTGGAAAACTGCATGATAGGAAGACTGAGTTCTAATGATCATTTGGTTCCCTTTGACACTTTATTAGTCTGGTGTGGAGAGCTCTTTTTTTTTAATCCAATGTGCATGCTATTCTGGGGGACTTTCTAAAGGATCATGGTGAATGATTTTAAATTATTCTGAATCTTCATATATAATGACTAATGCTTATTTTAATATCTTTTTATATTATAAATGTTTAAGCTAGTAAGCATTCATTCATCTTTTTCTTACTCCTTCCCCTTTTAGATATGTGTTTAAGATTAGATACGGAAATTGTAAATGGGTTTCTTTCTGAATATACTCTTACTTATGAACTAAATAAAAGTACTGTTAAAGTAAACAACAATATATAATATCAAATGGAGAAACATCATGCACAATTACCCACCTCCATAATGAATCGTCAGTGCAACCCTCATGCATTAGTGAGTACTTCATTGTATTGCCATTATACTAGTGATGTATAAGGGTTTAGCTTTATTCTCCTTTTGAGGTAGATGATGTTGCATTTGAAAGATGAGTTTTAACTTTAGGAAAAAAATTCACATGGCTATTCGGTTTTCCTTTTGGACTGATTTCAATATTGTAAATATTCAGCTAATTTCCCTTTTTCTTTTTTGTTGTTTTTTTCTTTAAATCATAAACAAGCTTGCTTCATATGTCAATCCTAGCTTCCTCTCCCTCCCCTCCTTTTCCCGCCCAGCACCAACTTCCCCAACACACCCCTAATCCCCATCCCACTCTCCAGGGAGTGTGAGGCCCTTCATGGGCATCTCCAAAATCTGTCATATCATCCAGGGCAGGGCCTAGGCCCTCCTCCATGTGTCCAGGCTGGGTGAGCATCCCTCCATGTGGAATGGGCATTTAAGGTAGCCTCTTCTCTATTGCTTAAATTGCCAGTTGGTGTCATCCTTGTAGATCTCTGGAAATCTCATTAGTGTCTGATCTATCCTCAAGCCTATAATGGCTCCCTATATTATGGTATCTCTCATCATGCTCTCCTCTATTCTTCCCCTGGCTCAGTCTTCCTGCTCCTTCATATGCCCTCTCCCCATCTCTTCACTCCCTCACATTTCCCCCAGCTCTCTCTCCCCTCCCCCGTGCTTCCAGTCCACTCAAGACTATCCCATTTCCCTTCTCTGGGGTACCATGCATATCTCTCTAAGAGGTTTCCCTGTTTCCCAGACTCTCTGGTAGTGGGATTATAGGCTGAAACTCCCCTGAATCATGTCTAAAGTCCATATATGAGTGAGTACATACCATGTTTGTCTTTTTGTGACTGGGTTACAACACAGATGATGATTTTCTTCTAGTGCCATACATTTTCCTGAGAATATCAAGATTCCATTTTTTCCCACTAAGTGGTACTCCATGAGTAAATGTATCACATTTTCTCTATCTACTCTTCAGTTGAGAGGCATTTAGGTTGCTTCTACATTCTGGATATTACAAATAATGCTGCTATGAACATAGTAGAACACATGTCCTTGTATGAATTCACAGATTTGGGGTATATGCCTATGAGTGGAATTGCTGGATCTTCTGGTAGACTGATTTTCATTTCCCTGAGGAATCTCCATACTGATTTCCAAAGTTGCTCTACAAGCTGGAACTCCAACCAGTACTGGAGGAGTGTTCCCCTTTCTTCACATCCCCTCCAACATAAACTGTCATTGGTGTTTGTGATTTTAGCCATTCTGACAGGAGTGAAATGGTGTCTCAGTAGTTTTGATTTGTATTTCCCTGATGGCTAGGGATGCTGAGTACTTTCTTAAGTGTTTCACAGACATTTTAGACTACTCTATTGAGAATTCTCTATTTAGTTCTGTACCCCACTTTTTAATTGGATCCTTTGGTGTTTTGGAGACTTGCCTCTTGAGTTCTTTGTAAATTTTTGAGATCAGTCCTCTGTCATATGTAGGGGTAATGAATATCTTTTTCAATTATGTGGCCTGCTTTTTTGTCTTGTTGACTTTGTCCTTTGCCTTACAGAAGTTTCTCAATTTCAGGAGGTCCCATTTATTAATTGTCTATTTCAGTGTATGTGCTACTGTTATTATGATCAGGAAGCAGTCTCATATACCAGTTGATTCAAGGGGACCTCCCACTTTAACTTCTAAGCAGTTAGTGTGGCTGGATTTATATTGAGGTCCTTAATCCATTGGGACTTAAGTTTTGTGCATGGCAATCGCATGGATCTCTCTGCAGTTTTCCACATGCCAGAATCCAGTTATGCCAGCAACATTTGTTGAAGATGCTCTCTTTTTTCCAATGTATAATTTTAGCTTCTTTCTCAAAAATTAAGTGTTCATAGGTGTGTGGGTTAATATCAGGGTTTTCATTTTCATTCCATTGGTCTACCTATCTATTTTTGTGCCAATACCAAACTGTTTTCAGGATGATGGCTCTTGAAGTTAGGGGTGGTGATTCCTCTGGAAGTTCCTTTAATGTACAGGGTTGTTTTGGCTATCCTGGGTGTTTCATACTTTCATTGGCATGTCTTTTTTATGTTGGGAAAGTTTTCTCCTATGATTTTGTTGAATATGTTGAGTTGGGTTTCTTCACCTTCTTCTATACCTATTATTCTTAGATTTGGCCTTTTCATGTTGTCCCATATTTCCTGAGTATTTTGTGTTAGGGATTTGTTGGACTTAAGATTTTCTTTGGTTGATGAAACTATTTCTTCTAGTGAAACTTCAATGCCTGGGATTCTCTCTTGTATTCTGTTGGTAATACTTGCTTCTGTATTTCCTGATAATTTACTCATCTTTTCTAATGACATCATTCCTTCATACTGTATTTTTTAATTGACTCTATTTTAGCTTTAAAACCTTGCACTGCTTGAATTGTTTCTTGCAGTTTTGGGTTTGTCTTTTCTTCCTTTTCTTTAAAGGATTTTCTCATTTCTTCTTTTAGGATGTCTATCATCTTCATGAAGTTTTTTAAGGTTGTTCTCTTCTGCTTCATCTGTGTTGGGATGTTCAGGTCTTGCTGGTGTAGAGTCCCTAGACTCTGGGGTTTCATATTGGTTTTTCTGTTGTTGAACGTGTTCTAATATTGTTGTTTTCCCATCACTTCTTCCAGTGGGCCCTGGTGGAGTCTCTTCCTCTCCTGGTGGGTACAGGTCCAAGGTTCTCTTCAGGTGGGTGCAAGCAGGTCCAGTACTCTGATGGCTCTCACTGTGGGTACAGGCAGTTCTGAGGCACACCCTCTCCCAGTGGGTGGAAGCTGGATTAGCACAGTGCCATCATCAGACTCCAGGTGACTTGGTGAGCCAGGGAGAGCCAACCTGTCTGCAATTTCCAGCATACAATTTTAGATATAGTGAAGGACTCTTTGACAGCTGACATTTTAAAGACAGAATCTGTGATGCTACCATCTACTTCCAGGAACTATTAGAAAAATATAACTTGGAGGTGACTAGAGTCCCTATCAGGAAGCCAACAAGGCTAATTTACCTCTTATCAATAAATGTGTGTTTCTTCAAAAATGAGAATGAAAAATCAAGAATGTGTGGATAGAGAAACAATAAATACTCCAGTGTTTTGAAAAAGGAGAAACTCTGCCTGTCTGGATTGGCATCTTTCTGTTTAACAGCTAAGAGATTTACTAGCACTAGAAGGTTTCATTGTAGACATGCTTATTTTAATTTAGCCACTGCTTTAGTTAAGAAGGAAGAAAGAATGTGCCCTTTACCTCTCAGTTTATGTGATTAAAATTTCTGTTATGTACCTACAATCAATTATGTAGCTACATAAGTTACTTATATAGCCACAATCCACTAAAAATTTCATATTGTGTTTACCACTGCACTTTTATTGGTTCTGCTTGTGCTTGTACTTTGACTTGGTCTCTCAAACATCAAATATGTGTTCTCAGATTCAACAAAGGCATGTGGGCCTCCACCACCTATTGACAATGGAGACATCACCTCCTTCCCTCTATCCGTATATGCCCCATCATCATCAGTTGAATATCAGTGCCAGTCCTTGTACCAACTGCAGGGTAACAAGACAGTAACATGTAGAAATGGAGAGTGGTCTGAGAAGCCAAAATGTTTATGTGAGTACCTTGTTTTCATATATTCTGGCAATGTTAATATTCGAGTATGAAGATGGAAGTCAACTCATTTCATTTGAAAGTATATATGTCGGACTGGAGAGATGGCTTAGAGGTTAAGAGCACTGGCTACTTTTCCAGAGATCCTGAGATCAATTCCCAGCAACCACATGGTGCCTCCCAACCATCTGTAATGAGATCTAGTGGCCTATTCTGGCCTGCAGGCATACATGCAGGCATAATACTGTATAAATAATAAATAAATCTTTTTTAAAAAGTGTGTGCAAAAAAGTATATATTGTCAGATGTGATAAGTCCTGAAGAGGCACCCATATAAGAACTGAAAACAAATCTGATTAATAAATAAATGGGTATCACTATACAAAGTTATCACCCTTTTTCTATATGTTAATTCCATTTTTATAAGAACTAACAATAAAAGCAATCTCACTCATGGTAATCTAAAAAAATGTCAAGCAATGTATTTAACTGAATTGAATGACTTTTGAATGCTTAGGTTAATAGATGATAGAATCTCACAAAGCAAAAGAGGATAAAGAAATCTTATATGTTAGTGAGTTGAAAGAATTAATATTAAAATATTCATGTTTGCCAAAGCAATTAGGCAGACTCTATAAGACTCCATTAAAATATGGACAACATTCTTCACAGAGGTATGAGGAGTAATTTTAAAATTTGCATGGAAGTACAAAGAAAAGGAACTGAAACATAAAAAAATAGAGATATCATAATATTTTGTTTCAGGATACACCAGTAGTACAGCAACCAGAACATTATGACATTTGAATAAAAACTGAAGTGCAGAAAGAGACTATATAGTTGAGAAACTGATCTATGCATATAGAGTTAATTGTTGTTTATAGAGTTCTAAAAAATTATAGTGGAAAAAATAATACTATATTCCATATATTATACATGGAAAATTGAGATCCATATGGAGGTGATTAAAATTTGATTCCTGTCTCTCATCCTGGAAAAACAAATCACAGTGGATCAAACACAAAAATGTAATAACAAAGGATACTAAAAGGAAAAATAAAATGAAATACAGAAGTGGATTTAGACACTGAATTTTGGATGGGATCCCAAAACACAAAAGTAAATTCTTGGCAGTGGAGTTTATCACATGCAAGTACTTCTGTATCATAAGGAAGATAATCAATAAACTTAATACACTGACTCTAGAATGGGAGAAAATGGTTGTAAGCTATTCACTGTCAGTGATTTACTTGTGTAGTATTAGGTTTTCCTATGTCAAGAATATATGAAAATCATTAAATAATTTTTGCAAGATAAGTGAGTTTATAAAACCTGAGAATAAATGAAGAGATACGTACCAAAAGAATGAATACAAATGCCACTGAAGAAAATAATGCTTAATACCATAGCTTTCCTGGCACTGCCAATCAAAGTCAACATGAGATATCTTATCATCCACTTAGAATGGCATTACAAAGAAAGGAGTCATTAAAATAGCAAGTGCTTTTGACTGTATAGAGGGAAAGGAGCTCACAATTTGATGGTAGGAATGTGATTTGTGTAGTTACTATGGAGAACAATATGGATATTGATAAAATCTAAAATAGATCTACTATGTGTTCTTTTCTCGGGGTTGTTCAATTAATTATTAATTTCATCCAATGACTTACTGCTTAGAAGAACATACATTATAAAGCCACAATATATGAGAGATGACCATAAATCTGGATTACAGTAGAGTCTAAAAATTAATCTGTGTGCCATGTTGAATCAGGAGTAAGATAAAATTAATCCATCATAAATAGAAGATCTTGGGATAGGTTAAAGAGAGCTATGCTAATAATTATTTAGGATAGTTCTAAAATTACTGACTTTATTAATCAATGTTGTGAGTAGTATAAATCAACACTGTGATGGACTAACTATTACTGCTGATGAGGCCATGAACTGCATCTGGCACCATGTAAGATGTAAATTGAAGCTGCAGGAAGTGCTGATCACCTCTGGTGATCATGAACTTTACAGAATGTTGAGGTTGTATCAAAAATTATCTATAAAGTGGTAAAATAGATTCACCTGTGTCTACACACAAATGAAGATTAGTTTAGAGCTGGAGGAATGTGACAATAATGATATCTTTTAAAAGGAAACCTAAGGGAGCTACTTAATTTATTTTTTTAATTTAGGTTAGAAACGATCTTGTTTCGCATGTCAATCCCAGTTCCTTCTCCCTTCCCTCCTCCCGAGTCCTCCCCACCATGTCCCCAAAGTACGATTCTCAAATTTGCTAAAGAAGAACACTTAGAAAAACAGGAATTTTAATTTATAAACCATGTTACAAATGTATGGAAATTCATGAAAAATTTCTCTCACACTACAAAAAATAAAATGAATAACGGAGCTTAAGGCAATTTGTTATTGTTATACATTGTTTTTGATATTACTTTTAACATATTTACCTGATGTTTACTGAAGGAGAATCATATTTCATGAAAAAATAATTCTATTCTTATATTAAAGTACCACTTATAAGTAAGAAATAAGTATATAAAATTATAAATAAAAACTAAAGACAAAAATAATGAAGCATTACATGTAAAATTGTTAATACATTGAACAATATAGCCCTTCAATATAATTGTTCCAGCAATAGCTTCCTATGGTGATTTCATGTTATATTTCATCTCCAATTAGTGTAACTGCTTATATGTAAACAGTTATATTGGATGTTAAGAAAAATCTAAAATCCACTTCTTTCGTGAGATCTAAGATATAACTCGGTTCCATGAAGAAAGTCCTGCTCACATACTCAGTTGTCTGAATTCCTTGTCCCTGAATTAGTTTCCTTGTCCTGAAAACACTCTGTTTTCTCATGCAGTTATTTTAATTAATAGAAAGCAATTCACAGATACAGTGGTTTAGCTATGATATGAGCATTTTCATTTTGTTTTGTATTACAAGTGAAAACTTGTGATTTTCCACAAATCAACAATGGACATCTATATTATGAAGAGACCCGCAGACCCTACTTCCCAGTACCTATAGGCAAGCAGTTCAGCTATTACTGTGACAGCGGATTTGGGCTTCCTTCTGGGTACAGTTGGGACTACATGAAGTGCACCAAAGATGGGTGGGAGCCTGCAGTGCCGTGCCTCAGTAAGTCAATTTCTATATTAAATCATACTTGTTTTAAAGAGTGGAAAGAGTAGAGTACATACACAATACAGTTAAGTGTCACATGTCAAAAAGTAGATCAGCAGAAGAGTTTGTGAGCAAAGCAGACTAGTTTCTGTCCTTGGTGAGTAGCTGTTCATGAAATGCACATAAACAATAGGTATTATGAGAATACTTTTATTGCTTGTATATTTTATTTATAAAAACTAAAGATAAATGTTACTCTTTTAGATATTTGGTATTGGTTTTATTTTTGAATATCATGTATGATCATTAAATGGAGGTAATGATATAATTTGACTTAGTTCATTTTCAAGTAAATGAAAGTTTTAATATTCTTTTTAATTTACCATTTTTATGGTTATTAGGACAATGTGTTCTCCATGATGTGGAGAATGGGGAATCTCCATACTGGCAAAGAACATATGTACAGGACCAGTCTGTAAAAGTCAAGTGTCACTCTGACTACAGTCTTCCAAATGGCCTGGACACAATTTCGTGTACAGAGAATGGCTGGTCTCCTCAACCCAAATGCATCCGTATGAGTAAGTAACCAGCTCCAAGATCACAAGATGCTCTTGACTCCCTGTTCCATGTATAATGCATCGAGAGTATATAAATGGAATACAAAGGGCTCTTGATAGTATATATAAAAGTAAACATATCTAGAAGGCAATTAGGACATAATACAACAAAATATTGAGTAAACTTTTGTCTACTTCATAGTAGCATATGTTTTGAAACCATTTGTTATCTAACTTCTAACAATTTTAGAATTATAGTTACCACTAAACAAATAATAATAGAAGTACATATCATTGATTTATTACTTAAGTGTATTTTATATGGTTAATATTAGTGATCTGCTTAAATATATACAGAGGTTTTATTTAGTAGACTTTCATTCTTGCCAGCTTTGCCCATATTCTTAATTTTACATATATTCTCTAGGGTCTTTGTAAATTAGAATAATTTATATGAACACATCACTTTTTCATATTCATGTATCTTCTTATTTTTTAAGCTCTATCCAGATAGATCGCCTTAGCTTTTTTCCTCTAAGTAACTCAACAATTCTCAAACAATGACAGTTTTATTCTCAGTTTCCAAGGATTCATCTTGGTAAAGTAATTTATGTCAAGAATGAGTTCAAACATGCTTAGTGTCCAGGTCAATGGCTATGATAAAAATGAGTGTGTCACCTCTTTGTCCACTTAACTATTGGCAGTGTCCTTTGATTTACACACGCTTTTCAGTGAAGATCCCATTCACTAATTGTTGATCTTAATGTTTGTATTACTGGTTGGTGTTCTGTTCAGAAAGTTAAGTCGTTTGCCAATATGTTCAAGGTACTTTCTCTTCTGCAAGGTTCAATGTAACTGGATTCATGTTAAGGCCTTTGATCCACTAGGACTTGAGTTTTGCACAGCGATATAGATATGGATCTATTTGCATCCTTCTACTTGGTGAGATTCTTTGTTGAAGATGCTTTCTTTTTCCATTGTGTATATTTAACATCTTTATCAAAATCATGCATTCATAGATGTATGAATTTACATCTCGGTCTTTGGTTCAGTTTCATTGATGAACCTCTTTATTTTTGTTTCAAAGCAAAATGTTTTCATTACTGTAGCTCTGTAATACAGTGTAAAGTCAGGAATGCTGATATATCTGGGAGTTCTTTTATTGTATAGGATTGTTTAATCCATCCTATATTTTTGCATTTATGTTCATAAGGGAAATTGGTCTGTAATTCTGTATCTTTATTGAATCTATGTATGGTTGGCAATGATCCTTTTGTTTCTATTTTGTGGAATAAGTTAATGAGTATTTGTGATAGCTCTTCTTTGAAAGTCTTGTACAATGTATATTATGGTTGTTTAGCTTCTGTTTTTTGTGGGCCTCCTAACAGTGGGAATGCAGGTTTCTCTGACTTTTTCTCCTGTGCTTGATCCCTTTGTCTCCTTCTGGGTTATCTCATCCAGGGTTGATATGAGGGCTTGCGCCTTGTCCTGTTGTTGCTTATGATGCCTTCTGTGTTCTATGAACATCATTTGGTAAGGCCATATCTTTTATGAAGGGAAATAAAGCAGCAGAGGATCAGGGGATTTGGGTAGGTGGTTGGAAATACCTAGGAGACATAAAAGGAGGGAAGGTTGAGGTCAGAATATTCCAGAAAGAAGGATAAATTAAAAAAGGAAAGAAAGTCTAGTTTCATAATGCAATAAAACTCTCTGACCCTGGGATTTTTTAAATTATGATAATTTTGTTGTTTCCTATTTCACTAGGGGTAATAGGCCTATTTAAATTGCTTATCTGATCTTGATTTACCTTTCATAAGTGGTATCTGTCAATAAAATTGTTTTCTTTTATGTTTTGCAATGTTATAGAGAATAGTTTTTTTAATGTGTGACCTAAGGATTCTTTGGATTTCTTCGGTGTCTGTTGTTATATCCCTTTTTTATTTTGATAATTTGGTTATTCTGTCTCTCACCTAGTTGGAATGGAGAAGTATTTGTCTATCTTGTGATTTTTTTCAAAGAACCAACTTTGTTTCATTGAATCTCTGTATGGTTCTCTTTGCTTCTATTTTATTGATTTCAGCCCTGAGTTTGATTATTTCCTGCTATCTACTCCCCGCTGAGTGAGCTTGCTTCTTTTTCCTTTCAAGTGTGCTGTTAATTGCTAATATGAGATCTCTCTAGTTTTTTAATGTGGGTCTTAGTGCTATGAACTTTCCAGTTTCTCTATTTTCCTTGTGTCCATATGTTTAGTTGTGTTGTATATTCATTTTCATTGAATTCTAGAAAATCTTTAATTTCTGTCTTGACTCAGTTATCAGTCAGTCGAGACTTCTCCAGTTTCCATGAGTTTGCAAGCTTTCTGCTGTTTCTATTGCTGATATCCAGCTTTAATTATTGGTCTGAGAGGACTGCACATAGTTATTTCAATTTGTTTGTATCTCTTGAGACTTGCTTTGTGAAGAAGTACCTAGTTAATTTCAGGGATAGTTTGGTGAAGTGCTTAGAAAAGGGTATTTTTTTTCTATCTGGGTGAAATGTTCTAAGAATATCTCTTCAGGCAATAATGTGTGTTAACTCCAGTATTTCTCTGTTTAGTTTATGTTTAGATAGCCTGTCCGTTGGTTAGAGTGTGGTATTGAAGTTTACTACTATCAATGTATAGGATCAATATGTATTTTAAGCTTTAGTAATGCTTCCTTTACAAATGTGGATGCCTTTGTGTTTTTGGCACAGATAAAAAGAACTGAAATGCCTTGATGGATTTTTCATTTGACTAAGAAGTGTTCTTCAGTGTGTCTTTTGATAAATTTTGGGTTGAAATCTACTTTATTAGACATGAGAATGTCCATGAAAGCTTACTTCTTAGGTTCATTTAATTAGACAATCTTTTTCCAAACCTTTTCTCTAACATAATATCCAAGGTGTGTTTCTCGTATGCAGCAAAAGGAAGGATCTTTGTATTAGGCAAATGATCCCACTGATATTTAGAGTTATCAATGACCAATGTTTGTAAATTCTTGTTATTTTGTTGTTCACGGTGTTTGGGATGCTGTGTGTGTGTGTGTGTGTGTGTGTGTGTGTGTGTGTGTGTGTGTGTGTGTGTGTGTGCGTGTGTACTTCCCTTCTTTTGGTTTTGGTGGTATGAGATTATTTCTTGTGTTTCCATGGATGTGGTTAATCTTTTTCTTTACCTATTGTAGGGTTTGGTTGTTAAATAGGTATTGTTTAAATGAGACTTTATCATAGAATATTGTGTTTTCACCTTATATGTTATTGAAAGTTTTCCTGTATATAGAAATCTGGGCTTGCTTCCATTGTCACTTAAGAGTCTACTAGTTATCTGTCCAGGCCCTTCTGGCTTTTAAAGTCTCCACTGAGAAGTCAGGCTTATTTCTAATAGGTCTGTTTTTGTTTGTTACTTGCTCTTTTTCCCTTGCATATTTTTACTGTTCTTTCTTTGTTCTATATGCTTAGTGTTTTGATTTTTATGTGGTGAGGGGATTTTCTTCTCTTGTCCAAACTACTTGGTATTCTATATGTACCTTTACAGGTATCTTTTTCTTTGTGTTAGAATTTTTTTCTTCTATGATTTGTGTTAAAATAATTTCCAGGGTGGGGAAGAGGCTGGAGACATGGCTCACTGGTTAAGAACACTACCTGGTCTTCCAGACGTCCCGAGGTCAATTCCCAACAATCACATGATGGTCCACAATCATCTGTAATGAGATCTGGTTCCCTCTTCTGGCCTTCAGGGATACTTGCAGACAGAACAATATACATAATAAATAAATCTTTTTAAAAATATTTTCTTGGCCTTTGAGGTGGATTTTTTTCCTTATTCTATTCCTGTTGTTCCTCGGTTTGGTATTTCCATGGTGTCCCAGATTTTCTGGATGTTTTGTGGCAGAAACTTTTTACAATTAACATTTTCTTTGACCAATATATCTCTTTCTTCTATTGTATCTTCAACACTGAGATTTTTCTCTTCCATTCTTGTATTCTATTGGTGAAGCCTGCTTGGTTGTTCCTGTTTGCTTCCCTAGATTTTCTATTTCCAGAATTCCCTCAGTCTATTCTTTAGTGCTTTCTTTCTATTGTCAGGTCTTGAGCAATATTTTTTTGTTTCCTTCAACTGTTTGTTTGGTTTCTTCCTTGGCTTTCTTTAAAGGATTTATTTATTTTCTCCAATTTCTTGTTTGTCCTTTTTTTACTTTCTTTATGGGATTCATTCACTTCCTCTTTAGAGAACTCTATCATCTTCATAAAGTTGGTTTTAAGATCTTTTCCTTGTACTTTAGCTGTATTAGAATATTCAGGTCCCTCTGTAGCAGGATAGGTAGACGATGGTGGTGATGTTCTGCCCTGAATGTTACTGATTGTGTTCTTAAGCTAGCATCTATAGATTTCACTTTGGGTAATTATAGGTCTAGGTGTTGATTTCTGAGTTTGTGTTTGTCAATGGGAAGCAAAGCTTGATTTCAGTTTCCTGTCTTGTCTTCTGTTCTATGTGGCCTGTGGTTCTCCACATGGTTTGGGAGCTGGGACATGACAATTCAGAGAGGAGAGGGGATTGAGGATAGTGTTGGTGGTGGGGAGACCAAAAGCCATGCTGCAGGACTTGCCTTACCTAGAGTCCTGGCATGGCATTTGGTCATGCTCAACTACTTGTTCTTCTCATCAGTGTGGCCTGCATTTGAGCAGGGGGGTCACCTGAGTTGGAAATAGGGATGCAGCAACTTGGGTAGAGGTGGTGGGATGATTGAGGATTGTGTCTGTGGGAACCTAGGAACAGCCTACCTGTTCTTCTTGCTGGCATGGTCTGCGCTTGAACAGGAGAATTCTGCTCCAGTTAGGGACTTGGACATGACAGCTCAGGGTGGGGGATGGAGAGGGGAAGGATGGTGGTAGATTGGGTCTGTGGTAAATGAACCCAAGAAATGAAAGAGTCTGTGTGTGAGTTGCATACCTGTTTTTCAAGTTGGTATGTCCTGCATCATTGTCATTTGTTTGTGTGTGTCAATTAAAATGCCATTGCCTAAGCATAAAGCATACGTTCTTCTAGAAGTACATATTTTACAATTAGATGGGTTATTTTTGTATGTGTGTGAGAAAGAAGTTAAATCTTCTTATTTTGCACTTAATGTCTAACTGTTGATGTCCTATTTGATAAAAGACAGGCATCCACTAGGAAATTGCTACTGATTCTTCATAAATATATCCTGGTCCTATTTGTGTCTGTTTATTGGCTTCCTGCTGTTTTCAACTGTTCTGTGTGTTTCTAAATTCACCATCATCCCAACTTTCTTTTCTTTTGTTGTTGTTGTTGTTGTTTTTTTCAAGAGAGGGTTTCTCTGTGTAGCTTTGTAAATCCTGCTGTCCTCAAAGTCACAGAGATTCACCTGCTTCTGCATCCCAAATGCTGGGATCAAAGGTGTGTGCCAGCATTATAACCATAGGTTTCTTTAATCGCTATGGCAGACTTAAAATTTTGTAATATTGAAAAACCACTTCCTTTCTTTAAACAATTATATTTAAAATATTTAAAAGATAAACAAGTATTGATTGTAGAAATCTATTGTTTGAGACTTGCAATATTTCAATTAATCATGACAATATATAATCTTTTAATTAGGTTTGAAATCTGTATACCCTTAATCATTTTGAAGAATTTTCTTACTATTTTGGTCTATGGCAATGTGACTTTTAGAATGAGTTTGCTATTCTGAGATAAATTTGGAGACAATTAATATAGTATATATTAACTTTCTTATTCATGAGTATGATATATCTTTGTATTTACTTTTATACTTTGTTTCCTATTCCTTTGTTCTGCTGTATGCAGATCAAATATCCTATGTATTCTCAATAGGTGTTTAGCTAATTCATGTTTTTTATACTGAAGTAACTATATTCATCTTATCTATTTTTCTTGAGTGGTAGAGTTTATTGCTTTTACTAACCCTATTGGTTGTCAACTTGTCAAATTAATTGACATGAGTGCCCAAAATATTTCCCAATTGTTCTTTTAAAATAGGTAAAATAGTAAAATAATATAATTGAAATAATTGCTGGTATTGGTAATCTGTGCAATTTCTACTTTTTATGTAATAAGTATGTTTAAAATTTATTAATTTAAGAACTTTTTATACTATCAAAATTTAAAATTCATTTTATAAAGGAATGTGTCAGTGAATTACATATATAATTTCTTTTAATTTTCTGCTTGGTTATTTCTCTTCTTCTGAACCTGATCCCCCTCACTCCATTTACTCACTTTTACTTTCATTTCTGATTTCTTCTAGTACATTAAAAAGCCTCAGTTAACTCATGTAGTGCTATGTTCCTTTTCAATGTGAATGCTAAATGCAGCCAGCTTCCTCCATGCTCTTGATTGTCATCCCACAGATCTGTGTATTTGGTGTACCCATTGATACTTGTATGGTAGATAAGCATTAGCAAATATTTTTCTGGAAAGTTTTATTGAGAGATAAGTTGTTGCCAAAAATATATTTTCTTACACCTACACCACAATTCTTTGAGTAAAGCACCAACCTTCTGTTGGAACTCTTTCTACCAGGGCTTAGCATTGAAAACCTCTAGAAAAGGAAGACTGAGTTTGATTTATCATTTGGTTCCCTTTGACACTTTATTAGGCTGATATTGAGAGTTCTTTTTTTTATAATCCAACATGTTTGTTCTTCCAGGAGCTTTCTAAAGGATCATGGTGAATGATTTTAATTATTCCAGATCTTCATGTATAATGACTAATGGTCATTTTTAATAACTTTTTATATTGCAAATCCTTAAGCTATTGTGAATGCACTCATTTTTTTACTCCCTTTCTTTTTAGAGACATGTTTAGGTTAGACACAAAAATTGAAAATGAGTGTCTTTCTGAATATGCTCTTAAATTTTATCTAAATAGAAAAACAAAGTATAGGTACAAACAGTGATATTTAACATTGAATGGAGAAACATCAGGAACAATTACCTGCCTCCAAAAATGGATGGTTCTTTCAATACTCATGCATTAGTGAGTACTTCATTATGTTGCTGCCAATATACTGGTGATGTATAAGAGTTTAGCTTTATTCTCCTTTTTAGGTGGTTGATATTTCATTTGAAAGATGAGTTTCAATCTTCAGGAGAAAAAATTCACATGACTATTCAGTTTTCCTTTTGGACTCACTACAATATTGCAGATTATCAGTTCATTTCCATTTTCAATGATTTAGAACAGCATACAATTTTAAATCTAGTGAAGGATTCTTTGACAGCTGACATTTTAAAGATCTTTTGCCTTGTGTATCCAAGACTTTGTTCCAATATGCACTGATAAAATTTTAGTGAAGTTATGTTTCATGTTTTAAATCACAGAATATATGGTAACCTTTTTAATATGTATTTGACACTGTCAGTTAAAATCAATTTTGGAATGTCTCCCTCTTGGAAAATCTTTCCAAATATCTTGATATTGGAAAGAAAGAACAGTTTCCATGTGGAAGCAAATTTGGAGTTTTGAATTTTTCCTTGATATATGACCTACAATTAATAAAGGTTTTGGTTTTTTAATATTTTATTTAAATTAGAAACAAGCTTGATTCACATGTCAATCCCAGTTCCCTCCCTTCCCCTCCTCCCCTGCCCCCTACCAGCCCCTCTATCCCCCTACCCAATTGTAAATTCACTCCCCAGGGAGGGTGAGGCCCTCCTTGGGGGATCTCCAAAGTCTGTCATATCATCCAGGGCAGGGCCTAGGCTCTCCCCCATGTGTCCAGGCTGAGAGAGCATCCCTCCATGTGGAATGGGCTCCCAAACTCCATTTGTTTGCCAGGGATAAATACTGATGTACTACCAGAGGCCACATAGATTGCTGAGACCTCCTCACTGACACCCACTTTTAGGGGGTCTGGATCAGTCCCATGCTGGCCTTTCAGCTATCAGTCTGGGGTCCATGAGCTACCCCTTGTTCAGGTCAGATGTTTCTGTGGGTTTCACCAGCCTGGTCTTGACCCCTTTGCTCATCACTCCTCCCTCTCTGCAACTGGATTCCAGGAAATCAGATCACATTAGCTGTGGGTGTCTGCCTCTCATTCCATCAGTCTGGAAGAAGGATCTAGAATGACATATAAGGTAGTAGTCAATCTCATTACCAGGGAAGGGCATTTAAGTAGCCTCTTCACTATTGCTTTTATTGTCAGTTGGTGTCATCCTTGTAGATCTCTGGAAATCCCACTTGTACCAGATCACTCCTCAAACTTATAGTGACTCCCTGTATTATGGAATCTCTCATCCTGCTCTCTATTCTTCCCCCAGACTCAAACTTCCTGCTCCACCATGGCCTCCTCTCCCCTCCTCTTCTCCCGCTCTCTTTCTCCTCTCACCTTCCACAATGCTCCCAAGTTTTTACTCCCACCAGCAATGGAGGAGTGTTCCCCTTTCTTCATATCCTCTCCAACATACATTTTCATTGGTGTTTTTGATTTTAGCCATGCTGACAAGTTAAAGATGGTATCTCAGAGAAGTTCTGATTTGCATTTCTCTAATGGCTAAGGATGTTGAGTACTTTAAGTGTCTTTCAGCCATTTTAGATTCAGCTAATGAGAATTCTCTGTTTAGTTTCATACCCTACAATTTAATTGGATTATTTGGTCTTGAATTCTTTGTATATTTTTGAAATGAGGTCTGTGTCTGATGTGGGGTTGGTGAAGAACTTTACCCATTCTTTTTTTAATAAATTTTATTTAAATTACAAACAATCTTATTCTGAATATCAGTCCCAGTTCCCTCATCCTCCCATCCTCCCATGTCCCCCCACCAACCCCCTAGTCATCCCATCCACTCCCCAAGGAGGCTGAGTCCTTCCATGAAGGATCATCAAATTCTGTCGAGTCATTTGGGGCAGAACCTAGGTCCTCCCCTGTGTATCTAGGCTAAGAGAGTATCCCTCCATGGGAAATGAGCTCTTGAAATCTGTTTGTGCACAAGGGATACATCCTAGTCCCACAGCAAGAGGACCGATAGACTTCCCAGAGCTCCTAGATGACACCCACGTTCAAGGGATCTGGTTTGGTGCTATGCTGGTTCTCCAGCTGTCAGACTGCAGTCCATGAGTCCCACTTGCTCAGGTCAACTGTTCCTGTGTGTTTTCCCAGCATGGTCTTGAACCTATTGCTCTTTACTTCTCCTTCTCTAAAACTGGATTCCAGGAGTTTGGCTCAGTGCGTAATTATAGAACTCTGCTTCTGCTTCCATCAGCTACAGGATGAAGGTTCTAGGATGGCAATTAAGGTATTCATCATTCTCATTATAGGGGAAGAGAATTTAAGGCAGCCTCTCTACTATTGCTTAGAGTTTAGTTGGGGTTATTCTTATTGATCTCTGTACAATTCCCTAGTACCAGATTTCTCTTTAAACCTATAGTAGCTCCCTCTATTGAGGTATCTCTTTTCTTGCTCTCCTCTATTCATCTCCCTTCTCTGTCTTCCTGACCTGCCATGTTCTCCTCTCCCTCCTAATATCCCCTCCTCTATCTCCTACTTGTCTCCCATTCCCCATGCTCCCAATTTGTTCAGGGCCTCAGGTCCCTTTCCCCTCCACTGCAGGACTGAGTGTCTCTCTTCTGGTCCTCCTTGTTTCCTAGCTTCTCTGGAGGTTTGAACTGTAGGCTGGTAATCCTTCACTCTATGTCTAATATCCACATATGAGTGAGTACATACCATGTTTGTCTTTCTGTGACTGAATTAGTTAGGAAGGTTTCTTCTAGTTCCATCCATTTGCCTGCAAATTTCAAGAGTCCATTTTTTCCACTAAGTAGTACTCCATTGTGTAAAGGTCCCAAATTATGTATATTTACTCTTTGTTTAAGGGGCATCTAGGTTGCTTCCAGGTTCTGGTTATTACAAATAATGCTGCTATGAACATAGTTGTTGTATGAATGTGCATCCTTTGTGTATATGCCTAAGAGTTTTGGAATTGCTGGATCTTGAGTTAGACTGGTTCCCATTATCCACAGAAACAGCCATACTGATTTCCAAAGTGGCTGTACAAGTTTGCACTCCCAAAAGCAATGGAGAAGCATTCCCCTTTGTCCACATTCTCTCCAGCATAAACTGTCATTGGCTTTTTGATTTTAGCTAATCTGACAGGAGTAAGATGGTGTCTCAGAGTTGTTATGATTTGTATTTCCCTGATGGCTAAGGATGCTGAACAATTTCTTTCAACCATTTTACATTCCTATATTGAGAATTCTCTGGTTAGTTCTGTACCTCACTTTCTAGTTGAATACTTGTTGTTTCGACTAGCATCTTGAGATCAGCCCTCTGTCAAATATGCAGCTAGGAAATATCTTTTTCCATTTGTGAGCTGCCTTTTTGTCTTGTTGACTATGTCCTTTGCCTTACAGAAGCTTCTCGGTTTCAGGAGGTCCTATTTATTAACTGTCACTCTCAGTGGCTGTGCTACAGGTGTTAATTTCAGGAAGTGGTCTTCTGTACCATTCGTTCTAGGGTACTTCCCACTTTCTCTTCTAAGAGGTTCAGTGTGGCTGAAATTATGTTGCGGTCTTTGATCCATCTGGACTTAAGTTTTGTTCATGGTAATACATATGCATCTATCTGAGATCTTCTACATGTCAGCATCCAGTTGTGACAGCACCATTTGTTTCTTCTATGATCCAATCAACTTGGTGTTCTATATGCTTCTTGTAACTTTATAGGTATCTATTCCTTTATGTTAGAAATTTTTCTTCTATGATTTTTGTTAAATATTTTCTTGGGGATGAGGAAGAGCCTGGAGAGATAGTTCAGTGGTTAAGAATACTAACCACTAACTGGTTAAGATGATCTTCAAGAGGTCCCAGAAATCACATATTGGCCTACAATTACCTGTAATGATGTCTGGTACCTTCTTCTGGTCTTCAGGGTTACATGCAGACAGAACTCCCTATACATACTAAATAAAAAATAAATCTTTGAAAGGATTCCCAGCCTACAAACCATACTGCCAGAGAAGCTAGGAAACAAGGAGGTCCCTAAGAGAGACATAAATGGTCCCCCAGAGAAGGGGAAAAGGACAAGATCTCCTAAACTAATTGAGAGATTGGGGGAAGGAAGGGGGAGTTAGGAGAAAGAGAAGATGAGAAGAGGAGGAGAGAGGAGAATATGAGAGAGCAGGAAGATTGATTAAGGGAAGGATAAAGGAGAGCAGGAAAAAACACACCATAATATAGGGAGCCATTATACATTTAAAGACAAATCTGACACTAGGGAAATGTCCAAAGATCTACAAGAATGACCCCAAATAAGAATCTAAGCAATAATGGAGAGGCTACCATAAATGTTCTTCCCCTATAATGAGATTGAAAACTACCTTAGACCCTTCATCCAGTAGCTGATGGAAGCAGAAGCAGACACCTACAGCCAAACACTGAGCTGAATTCCTGGAATCCAGTTGCAGAGAGGGAGGAGTTAAAAGCAAAGAGGTCAAGACCAGGCTGGAGAAACCCACAGAAACAGCTGACCTGAACAAGGGGGAGCTCATGGACTGATAGCTGAAAATCCAGCATAGGACACACCCTGACCCCTGAACATGGGTGTCAGTTAGGAGGCCTGGGCAATCTATGGGTCCTCTGGTAGTGGTTCAGTATATATCCCTATTATACTAATTGACTTTGGGAACCCATTCTACATAGAGAGATACTCTCTTAACCTAGACACATCGGGGAGGGTCTAGTCCCTTCTCCCAATGATATGACAGAATTTGAAGTTCCCGCATGGAATGACACACTCTCCCTGGGGAGCAGAAAGGGGATGAGATAGGGGGTTAATGGGGGACAGGGGAGGAGACGAGGGAGAGGCAACTTGGACTGACATGTAATCCAATTGTTTCTAATTTTAAAAGAAAAAGAAAAAGAAATCTTCTGAGCCTTTGAGATGAGATTTTTTTTCCTTATTCTATATCTGCTGTTCCTAGGTTTGGTCTTTCCATAGTGTCCCACATTTTCTGGATATTTTGTCAGAAATTTTTTTAAAT